AATCATAGCATGGGACTCTGGTATTTGAAAAGAAATAAGGGTCAGCGCTTCAGGGAGTAAAGCTTGGTTAAACCTCATGTGTCAAACCAAACAGCTAACAATTATCTTAAATAAACTGCAAATGGCTTGGGTATTTGTTTAACGCATAATATTAGGTTTCTTAATGTAACCTAACTTTGCGACCATGGGCACTTACATACACGTCTTGCTTTGTGCCTCCTTCACGTGATTTTATTTGCCTTTCGGTTTAATATGTTTTTTGACTGTAAAACAACCGTAACTCTCTCTCCCTTCCATACCATTTACCGCATAGCTCTAGTATGCAAATATATGTCATGTTGAATGAAATTCATTTATTCAAACATGGAAGTTAATTTGTTCTACATCTTGTCATGCCCCCATATTCCTCTAGTCCAAACAGATCTCATAATAGGGTTTGTGTGCGTGGGTTATCTCACATGCACGGGGATTGGTCTGGTTTTGGGTACCAGAATCTTACAGAATAATTACTAATCTTTGCTATCTATTCTTATACAGATGTATTTGTTAGCATAATTATTGAAATGCAGTGTTTAACCTTGTTTATAACGCTCACCTTTAACATAATACTACATTCTAGCAGAGCTATTTTCCCTCACTACAAAATTAGATTCATGTAAAACACATGACCTCTAAGCTTCTTTGCAGATATTTTCCTCTCTTTGACAGCAGCACCTAAAGGCACTTCTCTCTCTTTGTAAGAGTTCTGCCTATAATGTGTAACATTATAGGCAGAACTCTTGAGTAGTGTAATGTGAGTCCCACTATTAACTGAAAATGCTACAATTTGAGTGGATGTATTTGTGGCTATATGTATGGCTTCTAATAATCTTTATCCTCACGTCCCAGTATTCACATCCAATGTTACATTTTGATATTAGAACAGGGAGTGAATAAGGTCATCTTTTCTGTCAAGCTTGCATCATACATAGTGGTCCTCAGAGCACTTACTCGCTCATTCATGCAAGATATTATGAGTTTTTAATACATCTCTTAAACATTAAATGTTTATGAGTGTGTCTGCTGTTGGAAATTCTGTTCAAGTATCAACCCTGTCCTCACTTGTTCTTGTTACTGAGTGCAGGACCTTTTAAACAATTAACTGTATTGAAAAATTACAAAATTGTTGCTTCTAAAAGTAGAATTATGAAAGTAGAATTTTCTGATTTATGTACCTTTGCGTGAAAACCACTCTTGTGTGTCTGGTGTATGTGTACTTTTTGACTTTTTCTTCAGGAGTCTTGTGTAATCTCTGTAATGGATCATGTGCCTCCTAGTGAGCACTGATTGATGGTAAACACAGAACACAGTGACCATTAAGGAACCCTCTTACTTTACTTTTTCTTGCCAAAAAATTAAGTTGTTATACACAGCAGTTCCTTTAATTACGTTCTTCAAACCCACTACTGCACCTCTGGACAAAACGAACACTACATAAAATATCAAAACTATAAAAAAAGATGTATGCACAGATTCTGTCTTCTGTCCTGCCTCCTCAGTGCCACTGTGCGAGATGTCAGTGATGTGATTTGTGCACTATAGCGTGTTGCTTGGGAACACCTAACCCTCCACAGACTGGGGTCAGTGGCTGCTAAGTGATGTGTTTTTTTAAATCTTGCTGCGGCCATTGCTCTGTCCCCCAGAGTTCAGGCCAGTTCCCACCGTACAGCTGGGTCCCGCCACTACATCAGGATCAAGTCAGGTAGCACCTCAGTCAGCAGCACTCTCTCCCTGCCATCTGAGAGTATGCACAAGGACAGAGTTACCTTAGAGAGGAGAAGGCACACTTATAAAAAGACTTTTGAGAGAAGGAAAAAAAAAGATATTTCTCTGGTAGACACAGTTGAATAATGTTCTAAGAAAGCCCTTACTTCTGCCCATTATAAAACAGTCTTAGTTGTTTTTTTATGCATTATTGTAAAGTGTGTAGAAAAGCTTTTTTTTTTTTTTTTTTAACTTCATAATGATATTCCATCATACAACACATACAAAATATTGTTACTTGGGGCTATCAGTGCCAGTTGAAAGCACTGTGCAGTGACCCACATTATGGTGGACAAGAAATCTTTTATTACTCATATAGCATGTTCAAAAAGGTGACTTGAGATGTTTCCTAATGTGAATTTCTCCAAGACAATACTTGTATATTTTCAGGCTTTCAGAAAGAGGCTCCCTCCCTCTGTACTGTACTCTGTGGGCCTTTGCTGGTTAAATAACACTATGCTGCAACTCCCCACACCTACATGCAAAAATAACATGTAGTCTTTCTGTCTTCTGCACTGTTTGTACTGTGTGCACACTTAGACCTTTTCTCTTGGCCTACCTTGCTCTGTCATCACCCAATACAATTACGAAGTTCATTAGCAGTAGTAGTAAATGAAACATACATTTGAACTATAACTATGTTCTACAATTGCACACTTAGATAGGGCCATGATTAAAACTGCCTCAAAGGGCCACCCTATAGCATTAACAGCGGTGAGGAGTTAGTTACAGTAGGGCTCAAAAGAATCCTGCACAGACACTGAAAGAACATACTACACTTAACTTCCCCAACTGGAAATCGATCCCAGGTCCTTCTTGCTGTGAGCTTAGAGCATTAACCACTCCACTGTGCCATTATTTGTTTTTTAATTGGGTAATTGTTTAAAAAAGTGCACAACGTAATCCTCAACCTTATATAACATGAATTGTCATTCTGGCACTAGAATCTATATCATTATTTTTATTGGGAAAAAACAAATCTAACAATATTTTAAACTAAGATTAATGCTCGGTGTCCAAAACACGGCTAGCTTCTTTGGTGTTTATGAGGAGTTTGTTGTGTTCCTCATTGCACATCATAAATCTCAATTTACAAACAAATTCATTTCCTGTTAACATTCACAGCCCTGATTTCATATTGGAGGACCAAATGTGTCATCCTCTCATGCTGCAGTCTCCATAGTAACTGCCGCTCTTGTGACTGGTTTGGCGGTGTGTCTCTGCTGACACCTAGTGGACATTTTTATATTTGCCTTACTAAGTGTAATGTACCTTTTGTGCAATAGGGGTCACTGTCAGGTCATTTATGAAATTCCCATGACACTTGCAGCTTCAACATGCTCCTGTTGATGAGTGTGGGAATTTAGTTAGTGAGCACTAGATGGCACTATACTCAATCTAAAAGCAGCCATTCCACTCACAGAACTCCAGTGTTTTTAAGCCTGTTCGTAGAATAATGAAAACAAAACACTAAGCTTGTGAGGTTTTTTTTTTTTTTTTTTTAAACCTAAACCAAAACAAAGTAAAACAACACTGGTGCTCAGAGAATGAAATAGGTGCTAGATGACTCTTTAGGATCATGAACAAATACACATACTCCTTAGAGTGTGTTAGTTTTAATTTAGCTTCTCCTTTTACCAGAGCTCTGTCAGAAATGAAGAAGATACTCCAAATGGCTACTTTTCACCGCTCATCCAATTCAGCCACCTTTTGCTTTAAGAATTTTGAATTACATGCTATATATATATTTTTTTATTACATTTTACCGTGTATCCTTTTCATATGTTTTGCACCTGAGTACACTGTGCCTCTCTGGATATGGTTATTGGTTATCTCGAGCAACAGAATACAACTCCTCCAGAACAGAGGTGGAAATGGACTGGAATTAACATCACTGTGTAAATGCAGTGTCAGTGAGAGGCTGCCAAACAACAGCATTCTGCTAAAAGAGGATGCCATTTTGTGAAATTAGTGCAGGTAAAGTCAAATTATAATGACAGCTGAGCACAAGACAAGGGGCTGCCTAAGTAGAGCTAGACAAGCCATTTTCTCTTCATTGATCAATCTAATTTTTGTATTTGACTTTTGTTTTCTTATGTAAAGCAAAAATATATAAGACATTTACACTAATAAAAAAAACTAACAAATCTTAAACAACAGGCAAACACTTCATCCAGAGCAATTTATTCCCAAATTCCCAATTAAGCAAACAGAGAGCCAGTAATTGTGGTGTACAAATGATTAGATCTTAATCTAATTAAAACATGAAGAGGTTTTTATTCTTTGCATCAGGTTTATGGCAGGTACAACTATAGGTTTGGAAATGGTTGTTTACCTAGAATACTATTGAGCTCTTTAAAATTCAGTTAATTGTCCAACCTTTTGCCTAAGTTATATGTAAATGTGATGATGTCAAACTATCATTCACGAGAGGCAAATTTCTCTGCACCCATCTTAAATAGCCTAAACTCTACAGACCGCGTTGTCGGTGTGTCTAGGGAACATACTCAACCTAATCTATTTATCTGCTCAGACAATCCTGAACTAAGGGTAATAGAAGCATAAAGAATAACAAAGTCAACTGTAGCCTGCTCCTTCTGCCCTCACAGTGTGTATTGATAAGAAGGTACGATGTTTTTTCATGCCAATCATAAATAGCCTTTTGATCAAATTCATCAAACTGAAAAGAAATCCCAAAACTTTTATTATTAATATTGGCGATGTAAAGGTTATTTGGTTATAATAAATCATTTATATTTGTTACTAGGTAGGATGACTTTATTTTTTCATTCAGAAAGTTTGATTTAATAACAATGGTCATACACAGAAATGTCAGTCTATTAGACAATGTGATGACAAAAGCTTTGCACAGAGAGAATAATTAGGAAATGGTCGTTTTCTTCATCATTTTAGGCATGTACAGCCCACATTGATAAAAAGTGATGGTTTTTATGTGCCAGACAGATGCCAGTGTCTAACTATAAATAGCCTAGATTATGTTTTTTTTTTTGTTTTTTTTTGTCACACAGGATGCTGCCTGCCAGTTGGTTCTGGATCCCACCTCTGTTTCTCCTGGTCCCTCCCCACCCTCTCCTCCACTCCCGCCACCCCACCGTCCTGCCCTGTCCTCATTGCTCTCCCCAGTCCTCTCCAAGTGGGTTTTTTGTGGGGCAGTGCACACAACCCCCCATCCCCCTTTGCTCCAGCAGTACTGCACCGTGCCGGCCCGCAGAGGAATAAGGCAGCACAGAGAGCGGCGGCCAGCGAGGATTTGGTGAACCAAGGAGTGAATAACAGGTCCGAACCGGGACCATGGCTGCTCCGTCTGCCCTACTGAAGACCTGGGTCCTGCTGCATGCCCTGTGCCTGGCTCTGGCCCAAGTGGTGAGTGCACAGGGACATATAGGATTGTAAAGCTACCCTTAAGTTTTAAATGTTTGGTGATTGGGGAATGTAGGTCTCCTGAAATATGTGACATGTATAAATATGTAGGATTTTGATAGTTGGTTAAGGTAAGGCATCAAAAGTCAAGTGTATTATTTCACTTGAGTATAGTGGAGTGTCCTCTGTGGGAACATTATGGATTACTGCATTTCCCGTGGATTACTTTTGTTGATGGACCTTGGACTACGTGAACTTTTCCTCGATATAAGCGAACTACAAGGACAACACCACTCCACTGGACTTCATTTGCATCACCTGAATAACTTGGAAGAATGTGGAATTACTTACGCTTTTTGATATTATTTTGGGATTTAAAAATATTTCTGAATGCTTTTTAATATGAAGAATTTTCTCGTCCCAGTGGATTTACAGAGATGGAGATGCCTAATTGGACAGTGGGGGGTGGTGAGGGGAAGGAGGTAAACAGTGCCGGTCACATGACCCCTCCCTCCACATTCCTGCTGTGTCTTCTGTTTCATCTCTCACCTTTACAATAACATAAATTTAAGCGGTTTCCCCTTTTTGTTGATCACTATTTTTAATTTTTTCCCCCCAAATTTAACCATTATCGATGAATTAAAACAACTTTCACTGGACAGGGGATGTTTGTCACACAATTTTATTGATAATAAATGTATTTATTATCATTAATTGTTACACATTTGTAAATGAATTAATTATTTTGGATAATATTTTATTTACTGGCTGAGTAGTGTGTTTTTTCTCTTTTTTTTTCCCCATAAAAAAACCTGCTAAATTAGTTGACATTGACATACATTATACTTCAATAATTGCCCTATGCCACTACATTATTAGCATTAAATATGTGTCTTTGTTTTTCTGTTTTTAGAGAGGTCCACAAGGGCCTCAGGGCCAGCCCGGCCCCGCAGGCCCCTCTGGCACTCCTGGCTCGGACGGCATAGATGTAAGTATCCACTGCACTGTGTCCAACAGGTTGGCCACAAAGAGCCGCTTTGTGCAGGACTGATACCTGCAGAGTTCCGTCTGTAATATTGAAGTCTCACCTGCAGAGGGCAGTATTTTTAAAAATACCGAGGCACAATGGGGCTCTGTTCCCAGTATAGAGAGTGCTCTTTGAGAACAACCTGGGCTAATACTGTGGAGTTTGTCGCAGTAATGTGATACATTTGGGATGTTGAGGGTTAATGACACACAGCTTGTGCAAACACTGAGGGGATTCTGCACAGAGAACTGCTCTAGTATACTAAAATACACAAAAAAGAAAGAAAAGTAAAGTATTTGTCATTATTTGTGTTGTCTTGATTTATAAGGTTTTATGTGATTTTTGTCCAAACTGAGGTATTCATATATTCTTCTTGATACCTTCTGTAAATTTGTATTAAGGGTTTGATTTTTTTATATTTATATGAGCAAAAACCTAATATCTCAATATTTCAGAAAAACCCAGAACACAGATATAATTCTAAGGGGCTAATTATTATTGTGTAATATCCTAAGCATCTCTTCTTACCTAAGAATTACATTAGAAAATGATCATTGGTCAAACATGCTAACGCTACACTGCATCTAACCTGAATTCTCTCTCTTAATCAGGGTGAAAAAGGACCTCCTGGGCCTCCAGGACCTCCTGTAAGTTTGCTTCTGTGTTGTCAACATGAAATTAGGTAGACTTTTTATTATTAATCATTAATATTAATCATCAGGGGCAGAAAGGTGAGCCTGGAGAACCCGGAGTTGATGGACCACCAGGAGAGAACGGGATTGACGTAAGTTTGGCTTTAAAAACATGCACACAGAAAACAACACTTAGACTTTCTCTGCTAAAAAGTTCTCATCTAATAACCCTCACTCCAAAACTTGGCATTCCACTGCGGTTTAGTCTTTAATCTCCTCTGGAATCTTTGATCTTTGTTATCCCAATTACTACATTACACTGTCCACTTTAATCCAGCTCTAAAATAGATTTGGACTATTTTTTATACATTTGGACTATTTTAAAAAGGATAACATTTGTTCCTCTTCATAAAGGGTTTAATTGGAGCTAAGGGGGATCGTGGTCCTGTGGGAAGTCCAGGTCCTAAGGCAAGTCTCCTATTCTCTATATTCAAGTATTTTTGCATTCTTTTGGTTGAGTGACATTTATCATGGTTTATATTGCTACTAATGTAAATCTGCATTCTTTGTAGGGACAACCTGGACCAACTGGAGAGCCTGGAGCCCCTGTGAGTATCTTTTATCTCCCCTTCCCAGTAAAGCATATAGTCTAAAAAATAAGTACAATGCATTGAGCGTTAACTATAACATAATGACTCCATCTCACAGCGTACCAATTTAGTCACTGCTTGAAGTCACATTAGCTTCCTCACAAACATACTGTACCCCAGCTGGTCTCATAGGGCAACCTCCAGAGCTGCTTCTTCATGCTTAAATGCTCAACTCTAATTTAGTTCACATTATAATCTGTAGCTAATTTGCTAAATGAATCTATCTTTACCATTTAGCACAAGGCTGTTCACCTCATTATTACCAATCATGCATAAAGCAAGAGAAGAATATGTAGGACACGTGTATCCACTAGATGGTGCTCTTTGTCCATCGATTTCAATGTTTAGTAGCCATAAAAGTGCTTCAGTGAAACAGCATTTCTTAAACCCTCTCTCTGTCTGGTTCACATTGTACACAGAGAGGACATCCTGCCCTGTGGACTACTGTTCCTTCAGGAAGTCTCTTGGTTCATTTCATTAACTTATGTTTAATTAATTGTAACACACATGAGTGGAGCTGTGTATATTGTGTCTTTGTTTTCTTCAAGCTCTGTTTACCCAGTACTCTGATGCTGTATGGGTTATATGCATTAGTGGGGATATTATTAATTGACTTTCACAAATATTAATTGATACTTTGATGGTCTGGTTCCACTTGTTATTCAGTAATGCAAACTTTTGTGCCCCTTTGTGCAAACAGGGACTGGGCCTTCCAGGGTTACCGGTAAGTAGCTTGTACACTACACTACATTTATCACTTAACAGCCTTTTGTTTTCACTGTAACATTATAAATACTTGTGGGACATCTTGTCTGTGTGTAGGGTGCTCCGGGGCCAATTGGTCTCCCTGGTGAGATTGGACCAGTTGGACCTAAGGTAAACTTGTAGTTTACTTCCTTCCTGTGACGGATTCACTTGCACAGTAGCTCATCTTTTTTTGGTTTTGTCAGGGTCTCATGGGTCCACCTGGTGCTCCTGGACTTCCTGGCCCTCCTGGAAAACCAGTAAGGGATTCTCTTCAACAACTACACACATTCTTACATAAAGGATTAGACAATGACAAAAAAACCAAACATGTGTATCATTTTGTTTACTGCAATGGGGATATGATACAATTGACCAGCTAATTGGTCACTGCATCCCCACCTAAGGCATGTGAAAAGGAGGACAAAATTTGTTAATATAAGAAGCTACCTGTACAAAATTACTTACATCCTATGTAAGTAATACAACCTGTAAGAGCCATTGTATTCCTGGACTCACTGTGTGCATCCCCAATAGAGTTTCCACTGAGACATGATGCTCCAGCCAGGGAGGTGTTTTTGTTTAGTTTGTTTTAGGAAATAACCTCCAATTAAATTTGTGGACAGCTTGTCTGACTGTAGTGTGAATGCATGTGCCCTACTTAATTTGTATCCTGCCCATGAAGGCAGAGGAAGAAGGATGGAGTCAGGGAGTGCTGGGTCAGCACTGTTCGAAGAGTCACACATTGTGCTCACACGGTTCAAATCTAATAAAAGATGTGGGAAGTTTTCTACATTTTTGCCCAAATGGTGAAATTTTATAATTATACTGTTATAACATTATTGTATTATTAGATTTATGACCAAACTGTACACTTAAACTTTTGTCCTCTGTAGAACTCTTGTTTCCTTTTTTTATTTGCAGTTAAAGTCAGACCAGTAACAATAATTTCTTTAAACCGGACAAAACCTGTAGATGTCGTACCTGTATAGTGAGAAACGACTGCCAAATCTGCCAAAGGCAATCTCTGACAACAAAGGGAAGCAGATAGATGAACACATGGATGATTTAAAAAAAAAATTCAACCTGGACCCCTCTTTCAACACTGTTTCAGGCTATAGTTGGTCTTTTTAAATTTTATCTGACCACCTCAAAACTGTCTGTGTTCCACCTTCAGGGTTCACCTGGAAAGTTCATTGGTGGAGAAGAGGGTAGTGCAGACTTCCAGGTAAGAACTATGCTTTTTACATTTCAGTCTCACATGAATTTCCTCTCCCTAATATAGATGTATTTCGTTTTTCTACAATAGTGTCCTCTTAACTGTCCAGCAGGACCGAAGGGCCCACAAGGACTACAAGGAGTCAAGGTGAATAACTAAACCCACAGCAACAACCACAATATTATAATACTATTTTCTTTGTGACTCTAATGAACTATTCTTCTCCAGGGGCACAAAGGCAGAGCTGGTATTCTCGGTGACCCAGGAAGCATTGGCAAGACGGTGAGCACATGACCTTGTAGAGTTAAGAATATTAAGTATTTGCAATACAAAAGCCACATGGTCACATTTTTATGTAGCGTTTTTCCACCTTCAAGGCACTGTAAGCACTTAAAAATTTAGTTCACACAAGATAACATCATATTTACGATATCATCATATCTTAGTATAAGTGTGAAAAATAGTGTTTTTTAGTGTTTGCATCACATCATAGACTGTATTAAAAAGTGGACTAAGCGAGTGTGACCCATAGCGTCCAGCACCGCTCAAATGAAGCTTGCGATGCTAACAGTTACAGGAGCAAATTTGGGGCCAGCCTATTATGAATAGGATTTTTAGGTTAATACGAACATTTTAATAGCAAAATGACGAGGCGCACTGCAGCAGTTACAGAGAGAGAAACCATAATATTCTTGTATAATTCAATGGGAGCCAGGTTCAGTAGGACCTGGAAGAGCTCACACGCAAACTTTACTTTTGGAACGCAGCGGCTAGCTCATTAGCTATGGCCATTTATATATACAGAATATGCTTCACATACAGCTGTTTGTTACAAGCGCTTGCACAGTTATGTGACAGATTAGGCTGGAGTGAGGTAGAAAAAGGAGGTTGAAAAATCTGTTTTCAGTGTCTGTTATTCCGAATACAATTCTAGCCACCTGATAATGTAAAAAAAAAAAAAAAAAAGAAAGAAAATTTGCAGTTAACATAAGACGTTTTCATCAAATGTTTACATAAGAGTACATAAATCATAGACTAGTATTGTGTCATCAGGAACCTGCAGGACCCCCGAATTTATGCATGATTAGTAATTAGAAATAAAAATATATACATAATTCAAGGTGTATGTTTGATTAACCTAGATTGTGAATATTTCCTTAAGTTTTGAGTAAGTGATATTTGGCTGAAATGAAGATCTGATCTAGACGTTCCATGTTGTACAGTAGTCTGCATGGCTGGCCAACATACCTGACCTGCAGGAGCAGGGATTAGCTCTAATGAAGCCTCCTGCGGCACATGACTGGCACTAATCTGGGTGCGATTAGTCCTGTCTGCTCCTGTCCTGCAGTCCTGGTGCAGTGGAGCAGGTACATGAAGAGGCAGATGAGAGAGGCAGAGCTCAGCAGGCCCCTTTCACCTCTCTGTATTCAGCCTGGTTAATGAGCATACGGTGGGTTCCCAGGGAACAGGCAGTAGAGCCCTAAGAATTAGCCTGTGATCTTCCCACACAAGGAGCCTTCAAGCTGTACTTAGAAGCTCAAAAACACTCAGTGCAGTGGGTGAGCACCCCCCTAGTCATAGGTTCAAAGGTTCAGATTGGCCAGTCTAGTGTAACTCTAATGTTTACACACACTTTCCTGACAGCTGGACAATGTCAAGCTGTAGTACAATGTGCAGAATGCATTTCTAAAAAATGCTATTTATCATCATGGTTAGATTTGGTATTTGGTATTGGTATCAATTGGTATCTACACTGTGTATAATAATACATAATACATAATTATTAGGCAAGTTGTATTCATGAGGAAAAATGTTTTATTGAACAACCACAGTGCTCTTAGTCATTCCAAAATGTTAATAAACCTCAAACCTGAGTATTTAAGAAAGTAAAAGTGAAGTTTTGGTTTTCTGAGGAGAAAATCTGTGTGCACAGTTATTGGGCAACTATTAATATGCAGAATTATATGAACTAAATGAAAAAATGAACATTTTCCATTCTCACTTGTTTATTTTCATCTTTCAGTAGTAAACAACCAATATAGCCATATTTTTTCTCAATAATGATCATAAGCCTTCCATTCATGCAGTCGGTCAGTTTCTTGATATGTTGACAATCAATTTTTTGTGCAGCAGCAACCACAGCCTCCCAGACAGAGTTCAGAGAGGTGTATTGTTTCCTTCACCGTAAATCTCCAGTTTCAGAAGGGCCCACAAGTTCTCAATAGTTTTTAGGTCAAGTGAGGAAGGCGCAATGTCATCTTTAAGGCCTTTACTGGGTAGCCACACAGTGGAGTACTTTGATGCATGCGATGGAGCATTGACCTGCCATGGTCCTCTTGAAAGATGCAGACTTTCCTATACCACTGCTTGAAGAAAGTGTCTTCTAAAGACTTGCAGTAGGTTTTGGAGTTCATTTTGAGTCCATCTTCAACCCAGAAAGGTTAAACAAACTCATCTTTAATAATACCAGCTCATACCAGTACCCCTCCTCCACCTTGTTGGCGTCTGAGTCGTAGTGGAGCTCTGTGCCTATTACTGGGCCATGGGCCCATCCATCTGGTCCGTCAAGAGTCACTCTCATCTCATCAGTCCATAAAACCTTTGAAAAATCTGTCTTCAAATGTTTCTTGGCCCAGTCTTGATGTTTCAGCTTATGTTTCTTGTTCAGTGGTGGGTCAGGTTTCAACTTTCCTTACCTTGGCCATGTCTCTGAGCACTGAACACCTTGTACTCCTGGGCACTCAAGGTAGATTTTAGTTCTGGAATATGACAGAGCTGGAGGATAATGGGTTCCTGGTAGCTTCATGTTTGATTCTTCTCAAATCTCTTGGAGTTAATTTGCGTCGATGTACTCTACAACCATTACCCTCTGATTCCAGTGAGGTGGCATCAGTAAAGGGCATCTTGCGTAAACAATGACCATGGTTTGGCTTCTTACAAAAAGGGAACTGCAACTGCAAGTATATTAGAATGTCCTTGTTTTAATTCAACTGAATGAACTCCTCATATACGAAAAGTATTTTTTTGTGAAATATATTGAGTAAACTTGGATAGAAAGAACTCTGAAAATGTATTTTAAATAAAGTTTTCTACTTACATAATCTACCCAAATAACTTGTCACGTGTATTTTGTGAATATTCTCCTATCCATCATCTGTTGTTGCAGGCACCTGTTCTGCAGGTGTGTGGAAGGACTCTAACTAATCACCCTGTTCTCATTTCTTCTGTCTTGTGTAGGGTATCAAGGGAGAGACTGGCATCTCCGGAGAGCAGGGCATCCCAGGACCCCCAGTACGTGCATTATTTTGATTCATATTTTATCAGCGCTCGGCCATGTTTCATTTGTAAAGTAATGAATAGTACTTGACCTTTGACCTTTTGTTTTTTTTTTAGGGTCCAATAGGTCTCAGAGGTTACCCCGGAATGATGGGTCCTAAAGGTGAAGCGGTAAGGACCAACACAATGGTGATGAAGTTAGTGTCCTCCTTCTCTTTGGGCACACGGCTGCTCTCCTACTCAGAGATGAGCTCCATAGAGGCACAGTTAGACCTGCCCCCGCTGCACAAACATCATCCATTACCAGCAATGGGGACATATGGAAATGATGCTAGCACAAATCTCTCCCCTCCTCTAATGAGTTGGGGTTGTCTGGGTCCACGGTGCCTCCATCTGTAGTTAATGATCCACTGTAGCCATCCGTCTTACTGTTAACATTAGCCGTGTTAGCCAAGTTAGCAACCCCCGGCGCGGAGCCAAAGCGAGAGTGGTGTTGGGAACTCTGTGTATTGCCTATTAGTGGAGTGAAGTGAGTTGAGCATTAATTATGTGTTTATCACAATGACGAGTGAGCCACAGTGACTTAGCACCTTGGCTAATCTGAACTGACACATTTGTATTTTTACTCAACAGGGGCCTCGTGGTTACAAGGGCATCACAGGACCAGTTGGCATTCCTGGACCTCCAGTAAGATCACGCTTTTAAGAATTATATTTAACACAGCTAATAAAAAACTAAAACTTTCTCATCTTTATTCTGTCTAAACTTCATTTCAGGGTGAAGAGGGCCCCCAAGGAGGACCTGGTGAGCCCGGCGATAAAGGAGACAAAGTAAGTCCTCGGTCAATATTTTTCAGTTTAGCGCAAGGATCAAGTTATCTCTTCTACTGGTACAGTTTTAGAAATGCGTGGGCCTAGTCATGTTTGATGTCTCCATAATAAAGTCCACAAGGCCAGATTGAGATGACTTTGACTTTGCCAGAGAGACGAGAGAACACAGTCAGTAAAAGATTCTTATAGAGTTTCTAGACTTAAGAAATGACCAGTTGTGGTTGTAGTGAAAAACGGCATAGGAATTTGCTGTTATATATGTATTTTTTTCTTTACAGTAAGTGCCTTATATATTAAAAAGAAATATACAAAGTCCATTCTGCCTGCTTCTCTCATAAGTTAGATTGATCTGCAGTGTTGTTAAAAGTACCCTTACATGGATTTGCTTCTGTTGTGCAGGGCGACCGCGGTATCCAGGGGCCACAGGGAGGAGTGGGCAAAAAAGGCGAGAATGTGAGTTTTCCCAGCACCATGTGGATCTGCTGATATCTGACGAGAATAGCAAATACATTTTTCTGCTCTGTTCTTACAGGGTCTGCCGGGGATTGATGGAAAGGATGGCACACCTGGTATTCCTGGAATCAAGGCAAGGGTTACCAGCTTTAGAAAAAAGCAACATTTTCTACTTCTGACAGCAGCTTTTCTAATGCTGATTTCTTGTGTGTAGGGTGCTCCTGGACAGGCTGGCAGGCCTGGCCCACCCGGTCCACAGGGAGCTGCAGTGAGTGATTTTGAATTCTATGTTTATTTAACCACCTTCGTAAATTATGTACAACACAGAGAACAACATTAACCCTACTGCTTTGGCAAACATCATGTTTTAGAAGTAGACAAGAATTGTTCCTCAGAAAGATATCTTACAAAATTTACATTAATTACATGCATAATCTATTAAGTGGTTTATGCAAACAAAATACTGAATGATTAAGATATAAGGATCTAGTTGATGAACATAATGAATTAAGTTAGGAAAAAAAAACTTTGGTCACTGTGTAAAGATTTTGACACTGTAATTATGTCATTGTCACTTTAATGATTGTGTGCTCAAAAGGGGATACACGGCATGACATATCCTTTAAATATCAGTGTGTTTTTCTTTCTGGGCAGTTATCCAGAAACGGTGACCGCTCACCTGTGCACTTTAGAATTTAAACCACCTTGAAATAGCATTCCTAGGACCAACAATTTATCACAATCATAGCAGAGGCTACACACACACACACCCCTGAGGTCTGTAGGCCTCTGTGTGTTTGTGTGGACAGTGCGCCGATGAGGGGGTAATGGGCCATGAGTGCCACTTTGCTGTACGGTCACTGCAGTGCCTCTAACAGTGCCCCGAACTCAAACACCACTTACCCTGAAGTTTACACGTATACACCGTCACATAATCACCACAGTTTGTATACATGTGGGGGAAATTAAAACTTCAATCCTGCATTAGCACCATATTTGAATGCAAAGTAGAGCCAACATATTATATTTAGAATACTTGTTCTATGTAAGTCAGCTACTATATACAACAATGAACTAAATAGTATGTTCAATGTTTTAGGGATTACCTGGAAGTCCTGGTGTAAAGGGTGGACCTGGTGACAAGGTAGATGTTTAATAAGAATTTCTTTTTACATTTGACCAGGGTTAACATTTAGCTTCAAACTTCAGAATAATGTTCTCAATTTGACAACATTGCTGTTATACCATTATATTGTGTTCAAATTCAATGTAGAAGCAAAACTGGATTGCATGTTTCATTTCTAATGAGTAATCTGTCTCAAGTTGTTGTTGTTTTTCTTTTGCTTGCTTGTTGTTGGGTTTTTTGTTGTTGTTTTTTTTGCCTGTAACATGTCTTTGCTTCTCTCTTGTTAGGGAGAAACTGGACCCAGAGGCCATGTTGGCATGGCAGGAGCCCCTGGACCATTGGTAACAACAATTTATAAGAAGCATTGAAGTATTCATCATCCACAACCATCGCATTTGTGTAGGTCCATATCATGAGACAATTTATATTTTATGATTTAGGGTGAGCCTGGTCTTCCCGGAGAGGCTGGCATGGAGGGAGTCCCTGGGCCAAAGGTAGATATTCAGCAATAACAATTAGTGCAAATTCTTAATGAAGTTAGAGCCTAATACTCACTTTTACACAGGGAGATAGAGGCCAAAGAGGACCTGTTGGTGAGCCTGGACCTATTGGCAAGCCTGTAAGTATACATTTTATATTCAGATGAGCTTGTTTATTTAACATACTTAAAAATGTGTTCTATTAGGGAGGTAAAGGGGAGCGAGGACCTATTGGTGTTCCAGGAGCTCAAGGCCTCGGTGGAACCAAAGGAGACAAGGTGAGGATGTCTTCTTATTCATTTTCTTTCAGGTGATGACTTTCAGTAGTCCCGGTTTAGCTCCATGTTTGGTATCCACTTCGGTTGCACTACACCCGTAAATCTCTACTTTTCATTTATTTGGGATACACAGATTTGTCCATTGGGGGCAGTGTTTACCCAAATATTAAACCCATACTATCCAAGATGCATTAAAACACTGGATAAAATTATATCTAAGCAACCATTTCTTTTTCTGAGCACTACAAAGAGCCATTTTCTCTTCTCTGATCTTACAGCATTGAATCAACACTATGTTCTTTTTATCTTTTGTCTACTGCATGCAAACTCACTGTGCATTTTTTTCAGGGTTTCCAAGGAAAGCCTGGGTCAAAGGGAGATGTGGTAATTAAACATGATAATAATACAGTCTGCATTTTCAAATATTCCAAGCTACACATCTCTACACATTTTTTTGTTTTGTTTTTGTGCCTATTTTAGGGTGACCCAGGTGTTGAAGGACTAGGTGGTGAGAAAGGTGAAAAGGTAAAAATGTATTACATCAGAATGGGGGGGATTTGGTTTCAAACTATTCAGCGATGCTTCATTGCTAAATTCTAAGCACTAATACAAACTAACATATATTCAGACACAAACAATTATAAGTTCTGATTAAATTTGATTTGTGTTTGTGAAAAAAAATATCTTTGCTGTCACAGGGAATGTCTGGTGAACCTGGACCTAAAGGACAGGTGAGTAACACTGACTCTGATCCGACTTTTCTTTGAACTGTTTATTATTATTGCATTTTACTGCACAATGTGCTTAAATTGCCCCTCAAGACATAAAGTTTTTAGAGATGCGCCAGTCCGATACTGGTGTTGGATATTGGTACCGATACTGAAAAATCTGCTGGATCAATATCAGCTTCCAAATATCTGTTCAATGGATATATTGATTGATGTAATAAGACTGTTAACTGGTAGTAGTCTCAAAATGTTTGAACATTTATTTATACAAATTTGTTCTGTGGTTACTTGAGATAAAATACAGCTACATGACAAATTTGAATCAGTTTTGTCTTATTTTATTTTTGTTCTGCAGTGGTATTGGTTGGTACTAAGCTCTAGTATCAGAATCAGTATCAGAACTGAAAAAACTGCAGATATCACTTGTTGTTCACACTTTTGTTGTCAGAATCAGAATCAGAATTTATTTGTCATTTCAGTATAAAAAATACACAGAAACGAAACACTGCACTCAGGTCCAGATCAACAGCAGCATAAATAATAATAGGAATAAATAGTTTAAAATATTGTATGTCAAATACAATCTTTAAAAACAGCCTCCACCCGCCCCCATTCTCTAAAGTGCGTCCCAAGTCAGTGCTATCTTGTAAGGTGCATTAGTGTGTGGGCTTTCTGACAGAATTGATCTGCCTGACCGCATCAGGGTTTCGAAGTCCTGGCCCAAAGGTGGCGCAGTCTTCTGCCTGATGGGCGAGCTGTAAAAAGTCCATGTGCTGGATGGGCGGATTCCTCCATGATGCTGTGGGCTTTTTTCCTGCACCTGCTGATGTAAATGTCTTCAGTTCAGGGCAGACTACAGCCATAGATGCGCTCAGCGGCTTTTACTATCTTCTGCAGTTGTTGTGAAGTTAAGTCCTATGTTTCTGTATTTACTCTATATTTATTTACAGCAAGGTATTAGGGGTGACCCAGGACACAATGGTCCAACTGGTGACCCAGGCAAACCAGGAGACCAGGGTCCACCAGGCCTGCCTGGTCCTCGGGGACTAAACGGGGAGCGGGGAGTGCCAGGCATGCCAGGAATTCCCGGATCAGCGGTAAGTCTGCCCTACTCTCAGTCAAAGCCATAAGCCCGTACAGATGCACAAACAATGCGGAGATTGATTACCAAAGCAGACAACAGCTGTGTTCCTGTCATCCTCCATGCTCCTCTCCTTCAGGGACGTGACGCATCAGACCAGCATATCATTGAGGTGGTGCTGAAGATGTTGCAAGGTGAACATTTCTAGACCTTAACTAAGAACAGATTCATTAGTTTTGTTCATCTTAACATTTATCTGAGCTATAATAGGTAGAATATGTGCTCATTTATTAACTGAACCTAATGATACAGAGAGGCTAGCAGCAGTAGCAGTGAGTGCCAAGAGAGCAGTGCTTGGTGGAGCAGGTGTGATGGGACCTCCAGGCCCCCCTGGTCCTCCTGGTGCACCTGGTGGTCAGGGCCCCCATGGACTGCCTGGGCCTCGTGGTATTCCTGGAATTATTGGAGCTCCTGGACAAATTGGAAACACAGGACTTAAAGGTAACTATCATTAATGTTATGACCGGTATCAGTAAATGTGTAGTCAGAGGCAGAGGATAATTAAATGTACTCTTTCCCCAAAGGAAAAAGAGGAGCAAAGGGAGAGAGAGGAGATCCAGGTAAACCCCATCCAGGACCTCCCGGACCACCTGGATTACAAGGTAACACAACCACTGCCCAAGTGCACTTGAGTGCAGGTGTTTGGTAGTTTAAATGTAAATTGGTTTCTAAACTGGCCAAATGGGGACCAGGGTAAAGCCCAAGGACTTTGTTTTAAAGCTTTCACCACACGAGAGTCTTCTCAAAGGCATTTTAAAGCATCATTAACTCCAGTCATTTAACAGATGCTCTTGAAAAGTAATAGGATTGCAACAGTGCACACTATCTTAAGTGGGAAAAGGCACAGTCACACAGGGTTAATATATGCACACACATCTGTATAATTAAATACCACTCCAAAAATTCTCAAGAGTCAAAGAGTCAAATCGGTTTTGGTTATTGTCAATCTTAGTGTACAAGTTGGCTAAAAATGTAACGATTAACTTGAATGAAAACTGATTTGATTACAGGTCCTCCTGGTATTGATGGTGTGGCTCGGGATGGCCGGCCTGGGGAGAGAGGACCTCAGGGAGCAGCTGGAGAGGGTGGTCGGCCCGGTAAAGCCGGGCCACAAGGTCTCCCAGGATACTGTGAGGCCGCTATGTGTCTGGCTGCATCAGCATATACCTCTCCACGACTACAGGAGGCAGGAAGGATCAAAGGACCCAGTGTTTAGAAAGCAGCCTTACTGGCAATAAGTGAGACAAGAGGAGAGAAACAAGAACATGAACGAAGGAGAGACCACTCTTCTTGTAGATGGACAACACCCAGGTGGAAGGGACCATACACAGACTGGATGTAGTGCCCCTTTCGTAAGTGATGATCTGACGTTTTGACTGGTGGGACTTATTTTGATCTTAATCCCAAACATCACCATGACAACAGCAGCTCACAGCCTCCCACTACCTTCTAAATTCTCCAGTGTTTTGGATGATGCCAGTGTCAGTCCTGCCACAGCCCCTATTCCGGTTTCAGCTGTGAGAAAGGAGCGCTCTTGATGTCACCCACTACAAAACGAGGAGGTGCGGTTATGGTGGTAAAAGGTGCTTTTCTTCCCACGATGCTTTGTGTGTAACATCTGACCTGATTAAGTATTTTTACCAGACCAAACAATAAAGGACATCTGTACTGTACTTTGTTATCATGAGTAATTGAAACATTTTGTCTGTAAGGTTAGGTCACATCCCTTACTTACCTCATGAGTACTCCATTCCCTCTACCAAATCTCATTTTAGAAACTAACTACTAGTTTTATCTTTGCTCTTGTTGCCTGGCAACAGTGTATCCCGACAGGCCCTCCCATCTCCCACAATGCAGTGCTGTAAATCTTTGTAAATGTGTGTTGATTATTATGTAGAGAAAAAAGAAATGGGTTACGATATGCTCCAACAAAAATCCTGTGAATGACCTAAACGAGTAATAAAAAGAACTTCTCAAAGTTTTTCACTTTTCTCAACTCGATTCAGAGTCTCAATGTGCTCTCTATGCCACTGTCGACTTTCACAGGCTGTCAGTGAATTAATGACTGAATTATGTATATGGACACAAGCTATTTATTGTTCTTAATCATCTGTAATATGATTGTTTTTTTGGTTGTTCAGGGCCCGGACCAATAAAGAGGAATCTTTTGTAAAATCCATGTTTTTTCTCTCTTACATGAGACAGCTCAGTATTTTAAAACTATATACATATTTATTGTGAATAAAATATGTGATTACACATTAAAATGGCCCATGCATACGTGTTTGCAGTGAAGAACAACCACACTTTAACACGACTGTTGTAGCCATGGCTCACAGTATTTAGCAACATTTTATTATCTTAAAACATAAAGTATAGCTCTTCATGTTTAAAAACATTTCCAGGTGGTATGGATCAGATGATGACTGAAATGGCAGTAAAACGTGTTGGTGTTTTCTACTGAATCAGAATTCTCTTTCTTATCGTTATGTATGATCGCTGAGGCTAAATGCCCAAGTCGAGTCTGTTGCATGAATGGTGAATAGCCTTAATTATTCATTTTTCTCTCTCAACAACAGTATAGTGATAGTGACAGATGGCTTTAAAATCTACTATGGATTATATAAATTGTACAGGACGTTTCAGAATTACAATGTTCATCAACTCTTGAGGTTAATTAGCAAAAAAGATCAAACACAAATAAATAATTTCTCATAAATAATTTGCCAACTAACTAATTTTGATTTATTTGGGAGGGGAAGATCTCAAACCTTTAATCGCATATCTGCATTTCAGATGCTTTTTGGTATTTGTCTTTTGTCAAATAGTCAAAAAGTAAAAAATAGCCATAACACAAATATATACATAAAATATATACAAAATGATCAGATTTTGTACCATAAAAATGTACCAAAACATTTACATTTTCTAAGTAAACTGGATGTCACAGAAATGCAATGGCAGGGAACAATACAGTAATGGCCTAGTGCACAGTACTAAGCACAAGTGAAAATTAGTTGAAAATGGTAAAAACACAGCGGTGTAAACGTTCATAGTAAGAATACACTGCCAGTTAATGGAAGGCCTTTGTTCCAGTGTGGCCCTTGAGTTGGGTGCTTGACCGTAGCTGCTTTATTTTAAAATTGATGTGGAATTTATTTATATTAATCCATGTGTAGCTTGTGTTTCTCCTTCCATCTCCTTGCATCAGTCATTTGGATGCCTCTGTCCATAGACTCTACCAGGGGCCCTTCACAGGTGGACCTTTAGGACTGTATTCTACTTGATGGCTCATACAGTCTCCTGGATTACAGCGGCCATCCTTCCCCTTCGAGCCAGTTGCTCCGGGAGGGCCTGGGATACCAGGAACTCCCTGTTGGCCCACAGGTCCTGGAGGTCCCATCTTTCCATAACCTGGAGATCCTGGAATACCTATGAGAAGACAAGACGAACGAATGACAAAAGGTGAAATAACTTCTCGTTTAAAATGGTTCATGCCAAGAATTGTCTCAAAAAGTGTCTCAGTTATGTAATGTTAAAAAAATAAAAAAATAAAACATAGCTGGGCTGCTATCAGCAGAGAGCTGTAAGGTGAGAAAGCTATGCTAATCTTAGTGGCAATCAGCACAAGCATTTGTTACCATTATGAAACCCAATTCAAAGCTGGCAGAAAACTCAAGCATCAGGTGCAAGTTGCTAATGCATGTCATAATAAACAATGTGACTGCAGTGTTGCAGATGTTCATAGTTCAAATCTCATGTTTGCCGCGGCACTGGCTAAAGGTCTCAAACTTTTCAGGATCTCACATATAAACGATAGAGTACATAAACATCTGCATAAGTGAAAGGCAGAACTGTCCAGTCACTCCCAAAATTCCAGCTGATGCCATGCTTTCTCCTCTTTGCTGTTCTCCATATACATATACAGTGTGTGTGTGTGTCTGTATGTATGTATGTATGTATGTATGTGTATATATATATATCCTTGTATTATCTTTACAAATATTCAAAAAGTACTAATTTGTGAATAAAAATGTGGCTGACACCATTTGACTGATTAAATGACTAATATTGTATAATATTGTATACAAATTAATTGTACTTTTATTTTAATTTTTTATTTATTTTTTTTACCTGGTGGACCAGGAGGTCCTACATCTCCCATTTCACCAATTCCTTTATCTCCCTTTTCTCCCGGTGGTCCTCGTGGTCCTTTAGGCACATAGCACAGAAATATTATATATATATTCCAACAAATAACAACAGCATTTCTGAGTGAGGCTCACCAGCTGGTCCTGGTCCACCAGGCCGGCCTTGTCTGCCAATGTGTCCAGGCATGCCAGGGGATCCAGGGGCCCCCGGACTGCCAGGGATCCCATCTTTACCTGGAGGTCCGGGGCGCCCTGGAGAAGCCACCATTTCTACTGGCATCTGTATTCGGGACATGTAGTAGGCCATTCTCTCTGAAAAAGGATACATTGAGAGCCCATTCAATAACAACACAATAGCAATAGCGATAACAAAAAAATTTAAAAAACCCTCACCGTCAAATATTTTGATAACCTGCTGCCGTATGAAGTTCTTGATTTCGTCATAGTTCACCACAGCCTTTGATACAGGAGTTACAAGAACCATCATTGATCAGAGAAATTAATTAAAATATCCATTATTTGCATGAGTAGATGGAGCTGCCAGTGGCTACTGTAACAGTGTCACAGTCCTATTTGGCATAAATCTGAATAGTTTTAAAACGTTACACAGTAACTCTTAGGAAACATAGAATGCAAAGTTGTTTGCTAGCTTACATCATTTCCTGGTATTCCTGGTGATCCAGGAGATCCAGGGGGACCGTCTGTGCCAGGACTTCCTCTCTCGCCCCTGGGCCCTGCTGGCCCCATCAGGGGCTGTGCATCTTTGCTGTGGTACCCCCCACCTCCAGGAGGCCCTGGTCTACCTCTTTCACCTGGTGGCCCTCTCTGACCAGGGGACCCTTGTTCACCCTGTGCAAGAAGAAATATATACATAATTATAATTTCATATTATCCTACTGAAAGTAGAAAGGTGGAAAGAAAGAAATCAGAGCCTGCTGTCCTGTTTGGCTCTCTGAATTATATTTCAGACATTGTCAACTTCATTGTCCTGACCCTGTCTGTTTCAGACATTGTCAACTTCTGATTTTGATTTGACAAACTCTAATATGAACTCATTAGATGACATTCACAGTTTCTTCAGATGAATATGATTAATTACAATATGACATATTTTTAAATGTTTACTAAACAGAATTCTGACCTTTAGTAAAATTATGTTAAATTTTATTTTGATTCCTCAGCACTAGTGAAAGCCTTTTTGTCCTATGAAAAAACTGTCTCTAAAATGCACTGCATTAGCAGCAGTGATTTATGAAGAACAAAGCAGCCATAATGGACGTCTAATGTTTACATGTCACAGACAGAGAACTGGCTCTTGAAATGGAGAAGGGAGAGAAGAATAGAGGAGTCCATCCTCATCTTCTGTCTCTCTTCTCCTCTTCTGTGCAGCTAAAGCCCTGACAATGGCATCCTGTCAGTGTGACAAATAGCCTCATCTAGCATCTCCCCTCATGCTTAATAGCATTATCCCAGAGGCAGAGAATAACTTTATCACTGTACCCAGTCTCCAAAAGCCTTTGCACACTGCAGACCGACCCAACAGGAGTTACCTACAGAATACTGGCAAGGGTGACCAGGGTGAAGTGAGGTAAAAAGAGGTGAGTGTCTTTGGGATAATGAAATTATTTAGTGCATTGACTGTATAATGATGAGCGCTGAGGGTGCAGAAATGGCAGCATAGTGGTTGAACCTGGGACTCTACAGCTAAAATAAACACAAGGGTGTATATGGATTCACTGGGAGTAGAGGAGAAGCTGTATAGTCATGAATTACTGTGAAGCATGCTGAGTGTGCACTACCTTTTGACCTGGCTGTCCAGTGTCCCCGGGTGTGCCCGCTGCTCCCTGTCAGAAGCCAAAAAAGTTCACATTCATCAAAGACATGAAGGATGCACAGAGGACCAGATCAATAGAGCTGTCTGAGTCTAATGGGTGCAAATGTTCCATCACTCACATCTTTACCAGCGGCACCATCACTGCCCGGGTCGCCCTAAATAAAAGACCAAATTCAGACTCATGACAAGGTCATTTAAACAGGCATATCAAACCACTCTTAATTTAGACTTGTGATCACTCAGAGGAGGTTACTAACCATTGGGCCTGGATGTCCAGGAGGTCCTGGAGGTCCCACCATGCCAGGTAAACCTCTTTCACCAGCCTGACCCTTGTCTCCTTTGGTACCCTGAACATACAATTTTAATTAAAGTTATATTTTTAAAAACAAATAAGTATGTAATAGGTATTATTTAAGGCATTTGAGGCAAACATATACAAAATGAAGAACAAGACTAAGCAGTTTGAAAAAAGCAGGGGTGACATGCAGCCAGAAAATGACTAAACTTACCACTCCACTTGGACCGGGGGGACCAGGGGGCCCAGCTGGGCCCGTGGAACCCTGATAATAGAAGTGAAGTCAATCTTTTCAACAGTGTGCTGACATTTAAAGCTAAATAATGAGATTTAAATAAGAAATAACACCAACTTACAGCATGTCCAGGTGGTCCTGGTCGGCCCTGTAGCCCTGGAGTACCGGGGTCACCCTGAGTAGGTCAAAACTTGACATTTAGATTCATTCTGACTTTCTATATAGTATAAGCAGTGTATGGTGTAAAATGTATGTTTACTTCTTCTATTGTAGGTCTACTATGTACTGTGTCAACGTCCTCACCTCATGACCAGGCCGGCCTGGTGGACCAGGAGGACCTGATGGGCCAATTTCACCCTGAAACAAATGAAGACGTAATTCTGATTAAATGTAAGGAAATTCACATGTAAATGAAATCAGATAACATAAAGTTAAAATCAAAATAATGAAACAAACAAACAAATAAATACATAAATAAACACTATACTGTCCAACCTTTGCTCCAGGGAAGCCCACATGACCAGTTTTTCCCTTGAAACCCTAAGGAGAGACATCAAAGAAATACAACTGATGCCTTATCAAAATATTAGAAGACCAATATGTCAAAGAGAAGAGCAGCACCTGCTC